TCAGGCCCTGGCCCCAAAGCGTCTGCTGAGGCCCAATGACGCTGAGCTCCTGTGGCTGGATGGGCAGCCCTGCTTCGTGGTGGCCGATGCCTCCAAGGCAGGCAGCACCACCCTGCTGTGCCGCGACGGGCCTGGCTTTTACCCACGCCAGAGCCTCCACGCCTGGCACCGGGACACGGATGCTGAGGCCTTTGAGCTGGACGGCCGGCCTCATCTGCTGTTGGCCTCAGCCTCACAGCGGCCCGTGCTCTTCCACTGGTTTGGGGGCCGCTTCGAGAGGCGCACGGACATCCCCGAGGCTGAGGACGTCTACGCCACACGCCACTTCCAGGCCAGTGGGGATGTGTTCCTGTGCCTGACACGCTACATCGGGGACTCCCTGGTAAGCCTGGGCCCAACCAGGTAGAGGTGGGAGCAGAGGCCACAAGCCACCTCTGACCTGCAGCTGACTCCTACTCAGGGCTGTCTTTTCAATGGGGACCACCCAATCTGGGCTGGTCTTTCAGCATTGACCCCACTTTGCACGCTGCCCTCAGCTCTGCCCCAAGCTCACCGGCTGATCTTCAAACTCCAACCCCATCTAATGTGTTGATCCTTGAATTCTGACCCCAACCCAACACTGACTTCAAGACTGTGACCCCTCAAGGCATTGCTAACCCTAAACTACTCCCATTCCCCAACATAGACACTGGCCCCAAGATTCTGATTCTAACCCCAAACTCTGGCTCTGTAACTCTGACTCACTCCAGGACTGACATTTAACCACAGCATCACACTCTGAGTCCCCCAGGCTGGTGCCCACACCCTCCAGCACTCTTTTTAGAGAAAGGTGTACCCAGGGAGAGAGTCTAAGCCTAGAAGTCACTGCTCTGATTCAGTTCACAGAGTGTTTCTGTGGGGAGCAAACTGTGGGCACAAGGACAGGAGTAGGTGACCAGGGAAAAGGCGACTATAGCTGGTTTGGAGTGCGGCCAGAGGAGGTTGGAGCAATATATAGCATAGTACGGAAAACGGACAGATTCCATTACTGATGAGTTCTATGTTGGTGAAAAAAGAAGGACCAAGAATGTGGCCTGAGCAGCTGGGTGATGACATTTATAAAGAAAGCTACAGGAGTTTAGGGACCTGCAGGCCTCAACTTACAAGCTGTTCCAAGTCCTCTGAAGCCTAGAGGACTATCAACAGGCCTGGCCCTCTTGGATCCCAGTCCTAACCAGCCGCCACACTTCACAGGTCATGCGCTGGGATGGCTCCATGTTCCGCCTGCTGCAGCAACTTCCTTCACGTGGTGCCCACGTCTTCCAGCCACTGCTCATAGCCAGGGACCAGCTGGCTATCCTGGGCAGTGACTTCGCCTTCAGCCAGGTCTTCCGCCTTGAGCCTGACAAGGGGCTCCTGGAACCATTGCAGGAGCTGGGGCCCCCAGCCTTGGTGGCCCCCCGGGCCTTTGCCCACATCGCCATGGCTGGCAGACACTTCCTCTTTGCTGCTTGCTTCAAGGGCCCCACACAGATCTACCAGCTTCACGAGTTAGACCTCAGTGCCTGACACTGGATGGGATCCTGGACATGGCTGGTGAGGGGGCTGGCATGGGGAGTTTTAGGCCTCTGGACACCTCCTTGACTGACCGCTTGGCCCCACTTGGGGTTATGGCTGGTCCTGTGAGATACTGGCCAAGTCAAGGCAAGAACTGCCCTCCAATCTTAAGCAACATCTTGGCTGGGGGCAAATGCTGGGCGCTCAGACTGGGGCACGGAACTGGAATCCAGAAGTCATGGTGGAGTAATGTGCAGAGCTCTATGAGGCCTGGAAGCACCCGCCTCCCCTCAACCCACCCCTCCTACTCCAGCTCCCTGTGCAAGTACCCAGGAGGAGACGGCTTTCCTCTCCCCACTAAACTCAATCTGGCCAATCGCTTTTAGTGCACGCCTCCATGACGTTACCAGTTGCTGGGCAGGTTTTCCTGCCAGGCTTGCTAACTTCCTCTGTTGCTTGTGCGCATGCCTGCTGCCAAGGCGGAAGCCCAGCACGTCCTTGCTGTGCGAGGGAAATGGGAGGGAGAGCGAGAGTTTTTGTGGGGAGCCCAGGGTACTCCTTTCCAGTGAGTGACCGAGGTGAAGGCGAAGGTGTGTGAGCTCAATAAATGTGCTGTGAGCCCGCCCCAGCTGTTGTTGTGGGATCAGTGGGAGAGGGTGTCCCCTGAGTGAAAAGGGGGGGTTGAGGGGGGCAGTGTTCCAGGAGCAGTGTTTTAGAGGGGGAGGTCCCAGGGGAGCATGTTGGCATACTCTGGTAAGCTTTTGGAGTTGTCTAAGGAGTGTGGGTTCATGATTGTGGGGGATGTTCAAGGGATATAAGGGCTTTATTAGGGACAGGACAGGTTTCTTGTGGGTCTCTTCCGGGGGGGGGGTCTCTTTTTGGATGTTTTGAAGGTTTTTAGGCATCTTAGGGGTGTCTCTTGAGGACATTTTGAGGTCTTATTGGGTTTGGGGGAGTCTCAAGGGATTTTGAGGCTCATTGGAGTCTCTCACACCAGGTGGCCATCACATATTATTAGGGTTATCATGGGCAATTACGTAAAAGCCTCACAGAGACATTGGGTATTAGGAAGGGTCTTGTGTAATAAATTGGGGTCACAGCAGTGAGTGGGTCTTAAGGGGTCTTACTATTACAATCATAAGCTATCTGGGTCCTCATATCCTGGTAGGATAACCCCACTGTCCAGCAGAGTGTCCCAGCATTTCCTCTGGTTACAGCTCCCTTTCACTCTCAAAAATGTCCCCCATTTGAACTAGAAAATGTTAAATTGCACAAGTGGCTCCCGTGGCCATAGCAGCAGAGGACAAACCTCATGCCATTCGCCAGGTCCTGAGGGAATAGGCCTTTGGGCTTTTCCCAACAAAGAGATTCAGCTGCCAGCTTCGGTGGCAGCTTCCAGAGCGTGTCCACCGCAAATCTTACCCAAGTACACATACAGAGTCTCAACTGCTTGGGCAGGAGGCAAGCTCACTTTAGATCAAATATTGAACAAAGAGACCCTTACAGTGAAAGTGAGATGGGGTCTGGAAAGGCGGTCTGAGGAGAGGAGGGGATTCCATCCTGGAGTTAGGTTCCTATGCAGACCAGGACATGGGGAAAGAGAGAGGCCCTCTGTGTTCTTTCATGGATCCATCCTCAACAGTTATGAGCAGAGCCTGGGGAAGGTGATAGGGTCAGTTTGTGAGACTGGATGGAGATTTTAGTCCCCAGAGTACGTACACACACACACACACACACACACACACACGCGCCTCATCCCCCGTGTACTCCTTAGACCCATCTGTCCCTGTCTTACCCGCACACACACACACGCACACACACACGCCTCATATCTCGTGTACTCCTTAGACCCATCTGTCCCTGTCTTACCCGCACACACACACACGCACACACACACGCCTCATATCTCGTGTACTCCTTAGACCCATCTGTCCCTGTCTTACCCGCACACACACACACGCACACACACACGCCTCATATCTCGTGTACTCCTTAGACCCATCTGTCCCTGTCTTACCCGCACACACACACACGCACACACACACGCCTCATATCTCGTGTACTCCTTAGACCCATCTGTCCCTGTCTTACCCGCACACACACACACGCACACACACACGCCTCATATCTCGTGTACTCCTTAGACCCATCTGTCCCTGTCTTACCCGCACACACACACACGCACACACACACGCCTCATATCTCGTGTACTCCTTAGACCCATCTGTCCCTGTCTTACCCGCACACACACACACGCACACACACACGCCTCATATCTCGTGTACTCCTTAGACCCATCTGTCCCTGTCTTACCCGCACACACACACACGCACACACACACGCCTCATATCTCGTGTACTCCTTAGACCCATCTGTCCCTGTCTTACCCGCACACACACACACGCACACACACACGCCTCATATCTCGTGTACTCCTTAGACCCATCTGTCCCTGTCTTACCCGCACACACACACACGCACACACACACGCCTCATATCTCGTGTACTCCTTAGACCCATCTGTCCCTGTCTTACCCGCACACACACACACGCACACACACACGCCTCATATCTCGTGTACTCCTTAGACCCATCTGTCCCTGTCTTACCCGCACACACACACACGCACACACACACGCCTCATATCTCGTGTACTCCTTAGACCCATCTGTCCCTGTCTTACCCGCACACACACACACGCACACACACACGCCTCATATCTCGTGTACTCCTTAGACCCATCTGTCCCTGTCTTACCCGCACACACACACACGCACACACACACGCCTCATATCTCGTGTACTCCTTAGACCCATCTGTCCCTGTCTTACCCGCACACACACACACGCACACACACACGCCTCATATCTCGTGTACTCCTTAGACCCATCTGTCCCTGTCTTACCCGCACACACACACACGCACACACACACGCCTCATATCTCGTGTACTCCTTAGACCCATCTGTCCCTGTCTTACCCGCACACACACACACGCACACACACACGCCTCATATCTCGTGTACTCCTTAGACCCATCTGTCCCTGTCTTACCCGCACACACACACACGCACACACACACGCCTCATATCTCGTGTACTCCTTAGACCCATCTGTCCCTGTCTTACCCGCACACACACACACGCACACACACACGCCTCATATCTCGTGTACTCCTTAGACCCATCTGTCCCTGTCTTACCCGCACACACACACACGCACACACACACGCCTCATATCTCGTGTACTCCTTAGACCCATCTGTCCCTGTCTTACCCGCACACACACACACGCACACACACACGCCTCATATCTCGTGTACTCCTTAGACCCATCTGTCCCTGTCTTACCCGCACACACACACACGCACACACACACGCCTCATATCTCGTGTACTCCTTAGACCCATCTGTCCCTGTCTTACCCGCACACACACACACGCACACACACACGCCTCATATCTCGTGTACTCCTTAGACCCATCTGTCCCTGTCTTACCCGCACACACACACACGCACACACACACGCCTCATATCTCGTGTACTCCTTAGACCCATCTGTCCCTGTCTTACCCGCACACACACACACGCACACACACACGCCTCATATCTCGTGTACTCCTTAGACCCATCTGTCCCTGTCTTACCCGCACACACACACACGCACACACACACGCCTCATATCTCGTGTACTCCTTAGACCCATCTGTCCCTGTCTTACCCGCACACACACACACGCACACACACACGCCTCATATCTCGTGTACTCCTTAGACCCATCTGTCCCTGTCTTACCCGCACACACACACACGCACACACACACGCCTCATATCTCGTGTACTCCTTAGACCCATCTGTCCCTGTCTTACCCGCACACACACACACGCACACACACACGCCTCATATCTCGTGTACTCCTTAGACCCATCTGTCCCTGTCTTACCCGCACACACACACACGCACACACACACGCCTCATATCTCGTGTACTCCTTAGACCCATCTGTCCCTGTCTTACCCGCACACACACACACGCACACACACACGCCTCATATCTCGTGTACTCCTTAGACCCATCTGTTCCTGTCTTACCTGGCGTGACGAGAGGTGGGATGTCCCCTGGTCGGTGGCTAGGAAAAGAAAAGTGGTGAGATCTGTGTTTGCCTCTTTGTCCTCACCCTCAAGACTAGAAGACTCTCAGCTTTCCTTGGCCTGGCTTCCTGGCTTCTTTCCCATCATAGAGTTGTACCACCCCAGGGTCCCAAGCATTTCAAGATTTGGGGCCCTTTGGGGATTTTCAGCTCCGAGGAATAAACCTAGGAAGTCTTTCTTAGTGGTGGGAATCTCCAGGGCAGAGCCTGGCCACCGGGCCTTTCTGCAAGGCTTCACCCCTGGAAGGTATCTGTCCAGCACGAGGTAGGCACACACTGGGAATCCGGCTCACCTGGGCTTCTGGCTGAACTTGCACTTGCATTTCCCACCTGTTGGGGAGAGGGGAATGGTCAAGAGAGGGGACCCACAGCCCTGCCCTCCCCACTCCCTGGCAGCTCCTCCACTTACTCATGACGACGATGATGCCGATGGCGCACAGAATCCCTGCACAGATGAGCCCTCCGACTCGGAGGCTGTGCCAGTCTAGGAGAAACCCAGAGGGGCCCTCAGTGTCAGCCAGCCAGTGTCCTCCTCATCCAAGCCCCCACCCACTTAACAAGGATGACTGGGCACCGATGCTGCGCTGGGCGCTGGGATACAGCTGTGCAGAGAACAAGCCCAGCCCTCCTCTGCTCATACCTAGTTAACACGCAGGCAAGCGACACAGATCTCATGGAGGTTCAGATGGAGAGACGTGGTCTGAAGACAAGGAAGCAGAGCCAGGGAACAGAAAGCCCGAGGGCAGCTCTTTTAGGAGAGTGGCCAGGGAGGGCCTCTCCGTGGGGCCCCACTGGAGCAGAGATGTGGGGAGGAGGGAGGGAGCATGTGGCGTGTGGGAGAAAGTATCCAGGCAGAGGGGTCAGAAAGGACAGAGATCGGAGGCAGGGAGTGCACCTGCTGAGTCTGCGCCACAGCAGAGAGGCCATTGTGGCCGGAGCAGAAGCCGCGATGGGGGAGGGAGGACAGAGGAGGGACACGGAGCAGATCATGTGGAATCTGGAGGCCACGGAGGTTTGGGTCTAATGGCACAGCTCCTCCAAGAAGTTTTCTCAAGTCAAACCTCTCCCAGACTTGATTTGAACATAACAGTGGCTTCTCGTAACTGTCCCTGCTTCTCGTAAACTGTCCTTGCTGGCTAGTCATGCATCTTCCCGAGGACCAGGCTGGCCTGTCTTGTTCCCTGAATCCACTGTGGCTACTGGCCAATGTCCTGGTCCAATCCTATCCTTGCCCCCTTTCCACCCACAGCAGACCCTCACCCAACACTGTGTGGGGCCCTTGGCACAAAACAGTATGAGGGGTGGGGTAGGAGGAGCGAAGGGAGGGGCACCAGCTCTTACCATAGTAAAATGGACTGTTTTTATCTGAAAGGAAAGAAAAAAGAACATAAATCCAGGAGCAGAGCTGGAATACAGGGGGTCCAGGGGGAATTTTTTTTTGGGGGGGTGGGGGTGGGGAGGCTGGTAGAAGAGCACAGTCTGACTTACCTTCCGGGTCGTTGGCGTCCAGGGCAGGCAGGCCTGGCGGGAGAAGCAGGAAGGAGAGGACATGGGTGCTGGTCTCAGTGAAGCTGGCAGGGCCAGGGGCTTGGAGAAAGGCCCCCTGATGGACAGGCCCTGCCTCCCGAGGGTGCAGGGGTCCAGCCCCAAACTAGCACGTCCCATCTCGGAGGTGTGGACCCTCCACTCACCCCACACCTGCGAGCCACGCCAGCATTTTGCCTCCTGAACTAGGTTTTAACCTGGGTAGCTCTTGGCCACCCTTTGGCCCGATGTTTCCAGACCCCTGGCTACTCCACGCCTCCTCCAGAAACGGAGCGATGTTCTCGTCCGCGGGACACACGGTGTCAGTGCCGTCATCCTCAGGGCTCATCTCCCGGCTCGGCCACATCCCACCCGCCTGTTCTGATGTTTGCTCACCACTCCTCTTTAAAGCAACTTGCTAATTATAAACTTAGTACACTTTATTTAAAAACCATCTTCTATCACCATCCTACATGGAATAGTCTTGCCTGATGTAACAGGGAAAAACAAATACAATGAAAGCAAAGGACTAGGACTCAATTCTGGCTAGAAGCGGTGGCTGCCGGAGCCCGGGGCCTAAGCTCTGTTCGTTCTTTGTTAAGGGGAGATTAATAATTTTAAATTATATTTTAAGTACAAGTACATAGTTACCCTGTACAGGCCCTGTTTTAAGTGCTTTCCAAATGCCAGCTCTTTCCATCCTCACAGTGACTCTCTACGTAAGTGTTGTTATTGTCCTCATTTTACAGGTAGGGAAACGGAGGCACAATTGGTAACTTGTTCCATTACCTCTAAGCTCCCAGTTACACGCCCCCCCCCCCGTAATAAAGTGTTAGGGGGCCATGAAGACACAGCAAAGGCTGAGCATCTCCTTGAAGTCATCAATGAGACATCAAGACAAGACTTTCTAGCTGGTTGAGCTGCTGCTATGAGAGGTCCTGTGTTTGTGCTCTCTTGAAATCACCAGCACAACACTTCTTCCCTCAAGGAGATGCTATCCTGACAGTCACCACCCCACAGGGGACACTGTGAGGCTTGCCTGCCGCTCAGCAGAGCAGCTCAGGGAACGGCCTTTCCGGGAACAGCACTCACCTGCCAGGAGGAGGAGGAGCAGGCTCAGGGCCACTTGCTGCATGATGGAGCCGGCCTGGAAGCGGAGGGGAGGGCCCAGCTTTAGCACGGCTGCAGGGCCTCTGGTTCCCAATCCCCTCCTACTCCACGCCCCACCCAGGTACACACCTCACCCCAGGGTAGGAAGGCTGGCACTGAAGGCTGAGAGACCAGAGCTGAGGAGTGCAGTGGGTGCTAGGTGAGAACTCCGACCTGGAGGAGGAGCAGCAACAATAACTCACTGGACATGGACTTGAGGCTTGAAGTGAATCACCCTGGCAACCAAATAAGAGAGAAGCTGCCTCTGGTTGACCCCATTTTACAGACTGGGAAACTGAGGCTCTGATAGGTGCCTTGTCAGAAGTGGGATTTAAACCAGGGTTGGCTTTGCAGCAGCTGTCCCTAACTCAGGATTCTCAGGGCCTCGGGGTGTTTTGGGAAATGGGGTGTTAGAAGCCAAGTGGCAGGAGGCCCAGTTCCTAGGAGTGTCTCCCATAGACAGCTTGGAGCCTGCCTGCCTTGCCCAGACTTTGTAGATTCAAGCCGCTCAGGGCTGGGTGTGGCGGGTAGAGCACAAGGCTGGGGTGGGGTGGGATAGACTTGGGAGAATTGGCCTGGCTGCAGCCCCAGCTCCATCCTTTGTGCCACCCTAACCACTGACCCCCATTTCTGCCTCACCCCTGCTTATCCCACCCCAGTCCCTGGTGCTGCCTCCACCCAGGTCCCAGCCCCGCTCCGACTCCACCTCCTGCCACGCTCCTCCTGGCAGCACATCTTCCTCCTTCCCCAGGGAGCCCTGCTCGGCACGAAGAGGACGCCTCTGTCCCCTCTTGGCCTGGGGTTAGTCCACCCTCCCACCATCCTCTGTGCCTGCGCTAAGCACCCGGTCTCTGTGCATCCCCTGCCCCTCTCCCTGCCCCTGCCCCTGCCCCACAGCTAAGGCATCGGTTGTCATAACCTTAACAGCAAGAGCTTACACTTCCTCTGACCCACCTGTGCCGGGCACTGCCAGTGACCCTGCTGGGTTTCACTCGTCTAATCCCAACAACTCTGAAGGCCATCTGTTACCTGCCCCATTTCCTGATGGGAAAACATATGTCCTCCCCACCCTGGTGAAAGCCCCTTTGACTGGAGAGAGCATCCCCATCTCGCTCCTTCTCGGTCCCTCCATGGAACCCCCACCTGAGCTGCTTTCGATTTCAGGAAGAGGCCTGTAGTTTGGGGGAGCATTACTAATGAGTTTAGGAGCCCAAAACGTTTTAGGGGGATCTGGGGAGGGTGTGTGGGCAGGACAGGCCTGTAGAAGGTCTGCTGCTGTTGAAAGCGACCTGGTGAGGCTTTGCCGCCCCAGGACTAATAGCACTGCTAAGAGCCTGGCTCATCGAGGTTCACCCGGGCACGCTGTTCTCAGTTCTGTGCGCTAATTCACGCGTGTCATCTTCACAGCAGATGAAGGTGGCACTGTGCTTAGCCCACTTTGCTGTCGCAACCCTGTAACCCGTGTGAACTACTCTGTCAGCGGCAACTCTGAGTCTCAGCTCTTACGCCTCTTTCCATGGGATCCTCTGAGTCCCCTGCCCGCTGCAAAGTCTCCATTGCTCTCCCTCCCGAGCATCACCCAGCATCCCCAGCTCAGGGGAGACTGGAGTGGTCTCAGCTGTGCCTGGCTGAGCGCTGGTGTCTGGGGTCTGCCCTCCCCTTTCCTGTCAGGCCGTCGTTGGAAGAGGCCCTGAGCTGCTCCTGAACTGACTGTTACTGGCGTGAGGCTTGGAAAGGTAGGCGGCTTTGCAGATTGAGCCTCTGCTCACCCCTTTCCACTCCTTCCCAGCCACGGAGGTCCTGTCTCCGCCAGCTGCCCTCTGCTCTCCCCTCTGTCCCTCTATGGTGCTGGAGGCCAGGCCTTTCAGGCATGAGGAATGACTCCTCGTGTCCCTGAAATCTCCCACCCAGCCCCCCATTTTACATCTCCTCAGGAACCTCCAGCTCCGTTTTCTTGACAGGACCCCACTCCCTAGACACTCGAGTCTAGCCAGTCACCCTATCTGCTCTGATACCACCAACCATCCATGATCCACTTAGATACCTCCATTCGCTCCGGTACCCCCAGATCCCCTGTTCGCCCAGATGCCCCCAGTCCTGTCCTGGTCCACCCAGGTGCCCCTGATCTATCCAGACAACCCAGTCGCACCTGCAGACCTTATCCTCTCCCCAGTTGGCTCACCAGCCCCAGAGGAGAATCATGGGAGGAGGATCTCATTAGGGCTTTCTCTAATCTCCTGCTCCCGCCCCCAGAAAAGGACCTTGAAGGGAGAGGTTCTAGGGGTCTTTAACAGAGAGCAGTGGAGGGAGGGGGCCCCATCTCTCACCCGTGTGGCTCCCCAGGCTGTGTGGACAGTGTAGTTCCGCCTGAGTCCTGCCTTTATCTGCAGCTGCCACGCCCTAAGCAAACCTGGGCAACGCTGGGCAGGTAGAGAACAAGTCAGACTGCCTAAAGCACAGGAGTTCCCATTCCATTCCTACTCTTAAAGAGACAGCTCCAGCCACCACCCCACCACTGGCAGGAGCTCCCTGGGGTCCAAGACTGAGGTGAGGTGCAGTGAGACTAGGATGGGCTGGAACTCATCCCCAACCCCAACATTAGGGGAGGGGGCTTTCTCCAATCTCCTGCTCCTCAGAAAGGGACCTGGAGGGAGAAAGTGCAGGGGCTTTAACAGCAGAGCGTGGCCTGGGGGTCTGGGAGGGGGTGGAGGAGGGCTATGCAGAGGTGTAGTATCCCCGTTACTTTTACTTAGATTGTGCTGTGCTTGGAGGAGGGATTGGCCTCCATCGTGGGAGAGCTAATGTCCTCTTCCAGGCCACTTGCTGCCGTTGACTTAGTTTGAGGGTCAATAGAAGATGCTGGTATGGCCAAGGAGAGGGTGGGGCTGCTTGGCCTTAGACCATGACCCCTCCCTGTTGTGTCCCTCGTGCCCCAGGGAGACTGGGAACTGGCTCCTGAGCACCAGGTCCAGACCTTTGGAGCCCAGGCTCTTCCTAAGAGCGCTGAGAGCCTGGGTTAACAGCGGGCCTTGGAGTGGGGGGCTGCCTGCCATTCCGGATAAGGCCCAACTGCACCGTGCTCAGCTCCTTTACCCGCCCTCCTTCCTCCCCTGCCCCTCCTCCTCACAGCATTCCTTCCGGCTGGGGTCTGTGCATGCCCCCACTTGGTCCCCGTTGGGGTGCCCCCTCCCCCCAATTCCGCCTTTTTAGACAGAGAGACTTTTGTCTGGGGGCTGGATAGAGAACAAGGCTCCTTTGAGTGGCTGGTAGAGGATTGGGGTCATGGGGAGGGGCAGGGCCAGAAAAGGGGTGGCTCTGTGCTGGCCACCAGCTGGACTCCAGGCGACCCCCAATACCATCACAGGGGTGGGGAGGAGGGCTGCAGGAACCAGGCCAGGGAGAGCGTGGAGTGCAGGCCAGGGAAAAGGGGTTCGGAGGTCAAGGCTCTGCTGGGGCTATTTGCTGGGGCAGGGAGAACAGACCCCCACTTCTCAGCAGGGAGGGACAGGGAGGCAGCAATGTTCACCCAGCTGTATGGTTTCTTCATGTGGTTCCCTCGGGCAATTTCTCGGTCCCAGGCCCTAAACTAGGACAAGTCCTCTCCCCACTCCCATTCAGGAGGGGCCAGTCCCTACAAGAAGTGGAGGGGACACTCAGGGAGGTGGGGCTCAGTCAGAGTGGGAAATTCGGGGTGGGCGGAGATAGAAACGGAGGAAGGGAAGGCCTGAGGGGGATTCCAGTCCAGCTAAGGGGTCTTTGTGTCTGGGCAGATAGCATCTCTCGCACAGACAGTTCAAGATTGTAATATCCCTGGGAAGACCCCTTTGGTGGTCTTGGGAGTGGAGTGGTGTCTCTCCCTGCTGGGAAGTCTGGGAACTACAGGCATCTCAGAGTGAGAAGGCCTGAGTGCACTGTGGTGGATGGAGGATGCATGCTCTATCCTTCATCTATGCCACCGTCTACAACAGCGGTTCTCAACCTGTGGGTCGCGACCCCTTTGGCGGTCAAACGACCCTTTCACAGGGGTTGCCTAAGACCATCCTGCATATCAGATATTTACAATACGATTCATAACAGTAGCAACATTACAGTTATGAAGTAGCAACGAAAATAATTTTAGGGCCAGAGGTTGAGAACCACTGGTCTACAAACTCAGATGCCAAAGGGGCCAGGCAAGAATCATGAATGAGTACAGCAGGACAGACGTGAGATTATAAGGTATGGGGACAACTCAGCAAATAGGAGAACTATTGTCCTGTCTAAATGGCAGCTGCCAAAAAGACTGGAGCAGGCTCATGGACAGGTAAAGAAGTACTTCCCAGATACCTTGGGAGAAAAACAAGATGTATCAAAGTGTGCTGCCATTAGTGAAGAGGAAAATAATTTATATGTGAATACTTGTATATGAATAAAATATTATTGCTTCTGGGGAGGGGGATTGAGAGGCTGCAGGATGGGGTGGGAAGAGACACTCACTTATATATCCTAAAAATGTGCTACCTTGAAAAAAAGTTTAATTTTTAAAAAGTAAGGGATAGGCTGTACACAGTTCCAGCCAATTGCTACTATTTTTAATAGGTATCAGAAATCTGAATCTTTATGTGGAAGTTCTAATATTAAAAGTTGGGTCAGATTTTTAAAAAATTATTCAGGTCAAACAGAACACATCTGAGGGCTGGTTTTAGCCTGGGAAGACCACCAATTAGAGATTTCTGCCAACTTCACTTCCAGAATCTTTAGTCACTGTGATTTTGCATTTGGATATCCAAATGTTTATGAGGCTTATACCCAACTCAGGCCAACCATAGCTTCTCCCCAGGGCTGGACTGGAACATGCCATGTCCAAGAGTGAGCTGGACTGGGGCCGGGGCTTTTGGCTGGGAGGGTAGGACTAGAGACCCCCTGTGGGTGGGTGAAAGTGTGCACACTGGGACCTGGGGAGGGTTTGCAGAGAGTGAGGTATGTGCAGCCTCTTGCATCCTGTTGGTGAGTCTTCCA